TATTAGTCGTCGCGTATACAAAACGAGAGATGAACGGAAAAAGATACACGAACGCGAACGCGCACACCCCCCCCTCCCCGTCCCCGTGCGTGTGTGCGCGTTCGCGTTCGTGTATCTTTTTCCGTTCATCTCTCGTTTTGTATACGCGACGACTAATAATTTTGTCATTAATATCATCATCATTATCGGTGTCAATAGGGGTCGATTAGGTACAGGTTTGCAGGTACGGTATATTTGTAATAATTTCTACTTGGTTGCGATTTTCTTCTTTTTCTTTTTCAATTTAGTCGGGACTTCGTCCAATCCGCTGCTGTATTCCCAATCCGAATACGTTTCTTCCGAACCATCACCCTGTAAAACGATTTATCGAATCGATTATTAAAACTTCGATACGATTTCGATAGTTAGATAGATAAAAAATATTATTATTATTCTCACCTGTCCCAGTGCGTTCGAATGAGTCAAGGGTTTTGAATTGGAAAGTTTGTAATCCTGTTGAATGATGAGTCCGTTCGACGATGTTCCACCCACGTAGTGTTCCAAAACGGAATTGCTCATGTAACCGCCGTTTCCAATGTCTTCTTCTTTCGTTTCCGATCCTCCACTTTCTTCTACGCAGTCTTCACCTCCCGTCGCTCCCGCACTACACGCAGCCGTTTGATATTTGGTCCCGGTGAGAGACGTTTCGCTTTCCGAACTCGGGTACAGATGATTGTGAATCGTTTGATGATTGTTGTTGTTGTTGTTGTTGCTGCTGTGGTTGTTGGTTGACGCCGCTTCGTCTAGTCCGATTTTCATTTCTTCCGATTGTCCTCCGGACGATGAATTTTTTTTCATGATAAAGTCGAGAGCGGCAGCGGCGGCGGCGACAGCGTTTTCGTTACTCTCGTAATTTCTCGCTTCCGTGAAATTTCTCTCCGATTCCGGGATTATGTGAAAAAAATTATTTTCCGACGATTCTCTGCTCCGACCCGAAATGGAAAAATCGTTCGTGGGTTCCGCCATCGGAAAATTTTGCATGCAGTCTTCGAATCCCTGATTCCTTTTCGTGGACGTCGCCGAACTTTCCGATTGTGCCACGGATCGAGGAATGGAAGAATTATCGAAATTGTGACGATTTTGTGCGTTTCCGATATCGTTATCCGGTTCGGATGCCGAAGCCAACAACATGTCGTTATCCGATTCCGCACCGGAATTTTCGTCGTTTCTCGATTGATCAGCTTCTGCCAAATCCGTTCGGTCCGACGAGGGTAGGAAGGAAACGGGAATGAACGAATTTTCACCGACCGGATTGAACGTCGACGATTCGAAAGCGTTATTTTCTCTTATTCCAGGTTGATTTCGATCCCATTGGGGGGGTGCCATCATCATTGAACTGTGATGACCCGCTCCTTCCGTTCTCTCTTCTAAAGGGAAAAAAAAAAAAAATGTCTTAAAGCGCCTCGTAAATATAAACTCGGTAAAAGTCGTTAATTCAAATCGATTCGTTACCATTTTTTTTATGTTTGTTGTTTGTGTCGTTACACGACGAGGACTCATCGTTTCCGTAATTTCTTTTTCTTTCTTCGTTATTGAAATTAATGTCGATGCCGGAGTCGTTGGCGTTGGCGAGAAATTGTCGGGCGTTACTGAAATTGTCTCCTCCCCCTCCGCCTACACCACCTCCTCCTCCTCCTACTCCTTCTCCGACGGAAAACCTCGAATTTCTTCCTTCGTTTTCCAATGGGAAATGATGATCCCTGTTTCCTCTCATCTCGCCGAAATTACTTCCCGATTCCACTTGATTATTGCTCAATCGAACGGGATCGTTGCTTATCACGTGATATTCGGATTCATCGTAGCCGCCGCTGCCGCCCCCACCGCCGCCGCCGCCGCCATTTCTACCAAACGTGAATTCTAATCCGGATGACGCGACCGACGGTTCCAGGTTTCTCCTCAGGTCCAACGTGGGATTATCGCAAATATTCAAATAAGAATTTTTCGGAACGTGATGTTCGTTGTCGGACATTCCCTGGCCTCTCGTTAGATTTTCCCTTATGTTGCTCACGTTCGGATTTTCCAACGTCGAATGATTTCCGCCGAAATTACACAGGGTCGCTTCGAAATACGTTCTCAAATCTCTCAAATCTTCGTTGACGATGTTGTTACTCCTCGGATTCGCCAAATCCCTTATGTTTGATATGTTTGGATTTTCCAAATTGTTATAACCGCCCAAAACGAAAGAACTTATTCCGATGTTTTGCCTTATCGTGTTTTGATTTTCACGGAGTTGACAAAAGAGTGCTTCTATTCTGTTCGGATCTTCCGACAGATTCCTGTTCAAATTCGAACGGTTTTCACGTATGTTGTTTCGATTTTCTATTAGATTTAAATTTCCGCTCGTGTTCGAGGATCTGTCCGAGAGGTTATTCGCACAAACCGTTTCCTGTATCGATTCCAACGTTCTCTCCCGTAGGGGATCCGTCGTGATTTGTTGAAGACCCCTGAATAATTGAATTAAAAATTGCGGTCTCGCTTCGTTCGAACGTATGAAATTTGACACTTCGGATGATATGTTATCCCACAAGTTACTGAAATCAAAAATGAAATTTTTATTGTCGAATAGACAGATACGCGTGAAATGCACGTGGGATGCACGAAATTAATAACTCACGAATTGTTATATCCCCTGTTGTTCAAATGAGTCGTGGCAGCAGAACTTTCTTTTCTTCCCCGAGTCCTTTCAACCCTTTTTTTATTATTATTATTATTATTATTATTATTATTGATTCCGGTGTAGGGATCCTCGTTACCGTGTTCTCTAAACATTTGACTCGAATTGTGAGCTGTCGTGTTCAAATTTTGATTCACGTCGTTTCGAACGCTTCTTAAATTATCAGAACATCCAGGTTCGGGATTTCTCGTTCTTGCTATTCCTCCTCCCCCACCACCACCACCGCCACCTCCGCCTACTCCGATCCCTTCGTTTTTCCTCGAAGCCGTGTTAAAATGCCTCGAATCGTTATCTTGATGTCGCGTTTCGTTTTTGACCGTCGTCGTCGTCGTCATCGTCGTCGCCGTCGTCCTGTGACTTCCTTGAGAATCCGAAGAACGAGTTCTACTTATATGGCCGTGATGATTCATTCCGACGTTTTGACTAGAAGAAAATAAATACTGATGATCTCTGTGTGTTGACGACTCTGCGTTTCCAATGGTTTGACTCGGGTGTTGAGACGTCCCGATTCCGGCGGACTGATTATTATGCGACGATAATAAATCCCTCTGTTGCCTCATTTGAGTGGCCACAGATGTGGGACGTCGCAGGGCTTCTGCTCCCTCGTTGGATTTCGTATGTGAAAGTAAGTTTTGACGAGAATAACTGCAACACAAAATTTTTTTTTTTTTAGATATTCATTCTTTAAATTTATTCCCCTCCCCTCCCCTCCCCTCCACTTTTTTTTTCTTACCTTCGAAAATTATCCCAGTAATTGTTTGCCCTGTTCCCTGGAGGTACTTGATTATTCAAAGCTAATCCCGAATCATCGGGATTCAAACAACCGATCCCGTTTGGATTTCTATTATTCATCCCGGAATTTTGATTTTGATTCCCGTGCGACGGAATGTTTATCCGATTCACATTTCCCATCCTGTTCATATCGTAGTCCATGATATCCGGCACCGAAAAATTAATCAATCCTTGATTTAAATACTGTTGTTGTTGTTGTTGTTCCTGGATTTCCTGATTAGGAACGTTCGACGATGACGTCGACGACTCTCCCCCTCCCCCTCTGTAATTCGATTTATTATTTAAAGGATTTTGATGATGATGATGATGGTGTTGTTGTTGTTGAACATGTGGAGGAAACGTGGAAAATTGATTTGTATAATTCGAATGCGATGCGCCGTGATAATACGACGAAGTCGGAAAAGTCGGAAAATTTATATTTGAATAATTTTCATTTTGAAACATCTGAAAGAAAAACGTATCAAGAGTTAAAAAATTTTTATAGTAAAAATATTTGGAAAAATCAAATTTCCTTACGAGAGCGTTTCGAAGTTCGATTATTTGTTTTTGTTGTATCCAAAGCAATTGAGAACATTGAGCAACCGTCTTTGTCAACATTTGATGCTGTTGAAACATTCCCTGCAGTGATATTTCATCCGGTTTGATGGTTTCCATGAGTGCGTAATCGCAAAAATTTCCCGACATTTCCATTTGATTTTGAGCCTTGAAATAAAAAAATTTGTGTTAAAAGTGTCAGTAGTTGAGAAACTACAAAACAGGTAAGTAAAAATTCTCCCTTTTATTACCTGAAGAGAAAAATTTGTTCTGTCATTGGTATTGGTCACCGACGACAACGGACTCCATCTTGACTCTCGCGTCAAATTATGAGAACCACCGACGGAAGAAGATGGATGAGAGCATCTCGAGAGCGTATCGTTTTTAGACTCTGAAACAAAAATTTTAAATTAAATTATAATAAAAAAATAAAAATATATAATATTATCATAAAAATTCATTATTTAACTTACGCCTATCCAATCCCGATGATGATGGAACGTTTCCGTTTCCGGTTTGTTGCCTAATTTTACCTTTATTCGTCGAGGTAGTAGCATTATTATGACTCGAATGAGGTGAATGAATATTTTCTCTCGACAAAGGCCTATTTGAACAAAAAAAAATGGAAGGTTTACTTTTGAACCGAGAGGTAGCAAGTATTGGGAAAATTAAGAAAAATCATCTACTACCTGTAGCCCGAATCAACGCTTGAAAGTTTCAAACATGGCGGCTCCATTTCCGAATCATCGTCGTCGGGTGACAAACTATCGACTCTCGATTTATTCAACGGTAATTTCCTCGCCATGTTTTGCAATTCGACCCGTGCGGCTTCCAATTTATCTCTTTCCTCTTTCATGGCAGCCGTGGTTTGTTCCAATTCTTTCGTCATCATTTGCATCGTTTCGATCGATATTTCTTCGCTTAATTAATTAATAAAAAATAAATAAATAATAAATAAATTTAAACCGAGAAATCGCCTCCATTTTGTTATTTTTCTTCTTCTTCTTCTTCGCTCACCTATTTTTAATTTGAGATGCAACTGATTCAGCAGGACTAGGAATCGATGAATTGGCTTCGTTAACTAAATTACTGACTAATTGTAAATACGACGGAGACAATCCGGTGTTGTTTTGAGCCGATTGTACGATTTCGAGTAATTCCGTTAAATGATTCAATTTTGATTTGACTTGGTCTAATTTTCTAAAAGGGAAAACATTTTCAAATCAAACAATCGATTGAAAGGAAAATGGAAAATTCTTATTTTTCATCATCTACTTACAATACGTTACTACTAGATTCATCGTTGGGTTGTTGTTGTTGTTGTTGTTCTTCATCCGTTGTTAATCCGTTTTGAACGTAATTAACATTTTCCTTCGAACTGTTACACGATTCCGGTTGTTCGCGTTGTTTCGATTCCGAACAATGAGCATTATTTATAGACGCCATTATTTTTTGTATTTCCAATAATTGAGTCTAAAATGAATGTGAGACAATTACTCAAACTCGAATGCGTTGTTTAAAAAAAATAAATTTTACAAAAGTTTTCTCCATCGACATGTACCTTCATGACATTCAGTTCTTCCATTTTATCGGAAACTAATTGCAAATCAGTCTCTGTATCCGAGAGTACTTCCCGAATTTGTGGCTCCTCGTGAGATTCTTTTCCTTCTAAATTTCTCCCTTGGTTTTCATTCAGACTTTCATAAACCTGAAAAAAATTCAATGTGCCAATTACAAATCTTTCTTTCTCAATTCAAAACAGGTATTCGATTATGTCATAACCGTACCTGATTTCGCATGTTGTAAATCTGTTGAATGGCTTTTAACCTTTGATTTAATTGTTTGACATTCAAATCCATTGTTTTATTTAACGACAGTTCCTGATGTAAATTTGAAGCTCTTGCCACAAGTCGTGATTGTTCTGCTTGTGCTTCTTGTAATTGTTGTTTTGCTTTTTCCTGTAGCTTTAATAAATCCTTTCAAAAAAAATTAAACAGGTCATAATGCGCATGAAATATTAAAAAAAAATTTAAATTTTATTTTTACCCACATACCCTTTTCCTTTTCTGTAAAGCTTCTATTTTTTTTGAACTTTCTTCAGATTGTCTCGTAAGTTCTTCTTCATCAGTCTCAACATTATTATTGCCCTACACATTTAATAAATACTTTAAGTTAAATAAAAACAATTTTTTTTTAATATAAATTTTCAAAAGACTTCACACAAAACTTACACTTAATTCTTCTGAAGGACATAACCCTGGTCCATAATTATCTGTTAAAATTTTATTGAATTTTTGCATTCGTCTTGAATCACCACATTCGTTTGGTTGCTGGAAAAAAATAATGTAAACACTTAAAAAAAGATAAACATGATGAAATTATAAAAATATAATAATAATACAATTTCAATTATTGTTAGAAAAAAAAAATTTTTCTTTACCATTCATTGGTTTCATAACAATGCACAGCAACACTTACCGAATCTGACGATTTAACTAAAACATTCATAAGATCTGCAGTCTGTTGTAGGTAAGTTTGAATTTGTGAAAGTTTATTAACAACTTGCTTGTGATCTGATAATTTAGTTTTATCCGATGAACTATTATGAGAACAATCCTGTAAAATCATTTTAATGTACTTACATAATTATTATCATTATATTTTTCTCGGAAGTTTTATATATATTTTTTTTTTAGTCGAGAAAAAATTATTAAAAATTTTGTTATTAATAAATAAAAACCAAAACAAATCAAAACCAAATAAAATTTTAAGCTCAATAAAATGTTTATATAAATTCGGCAACTATTTAAAATTTAATATAATGTAACTTACTTCAGAGTTTTCGTTTTGCGATGTCATCGTTGACGATCTAGACCTTTCTAATTCGCAATGAATTGAATCGACTTCATTTTCTGAATGAGTGCTACTTTTGGTACCAGCATGTTTTTTATTTCCAACTCCAGAAAAATGATCCCAAACTGGAGTGGAAGACTGAAAAACAAAGAAACAAATATTAATTTTTATTACGATTTATTAAATATATATGCCTGACTATACTGTGATAATATTGTAAAAGGTTTTAAGGTTTAAGGTTTACATATATGCAAGAACATGAAATAAAAACTTACAGATTGGTTATAATGTTCTTTGGATGATTTTTGAGACTGGGATCCATTACTTTTTACTTTATTTTTGGGCACAGTTCCAGTTTGGCGACCATTCAAACCAGGAGCCATTTTATACTAATCCAGTATCTAATAATTAAATTAAATTAAAATTATATAAAAAAGTAAATAATTTTGACAAAATGTAATGTAAAGTAAGAATCAGTTTCTTTTTAAAATAATTTTTCAACAATTGTTTTTTAAAAAACAAAAAAAATTTTAGTTTGCTCGTTTTTCAAACGTGATGATAAAACTAAACTGCAAAATCAAATGAAAGAGGAAAAGTATGATTTTTTTTTAAATTGAATAAAACTTTTTTAATTAAGAATGCTCTCGTATCAATCAAATCAAGTTTTTCATACCAACTGACACTCTTAATTAAATAAATAAGGATACGCTTGGTTTTCTTAAATACTAAAGACTTTTCTAATTTGTCGTTCGTAATACATATTTATCAAAGATCAGAAAAATTGTTTTTAAAAAAAAGTAAAAAAATTACAAATTTACAACAATCACATTTCAAATTTTATCTGAGGTTTGGAAAAATTTTCTTATGTGAAAAAATTATATTTAAAAAATAAAATGGGAAAAAAAATTATTTTAAATTACATACCCAAAAAATTTAAATAAAAGTAAAAATACTTTTTTTTAAACACTATTTCTCTAATATAACTTTAAATTTTTAATTTAATTTTGATGTTTGACTACTAGATGAAGAACGAAGCCATCCTTCCTTGATCTTATTCCACCGCCTTTTAAGAACGATCGAATTGAGAAAAATATAACAAAATCGAGTCATAGAGATATAAACACATCCAGAACGCAATGGCAAATATTTAACGACGAAATAAAATGGCGGAAAAAATTTTTAATGAAATTGTCACATAATTACGTGGATTTTATTTATGGATCATATATTTATAAATAAAAACATGAACTTTAACTTTTTACAAATAATTTTTTAAAAAAACTTTCACTTCCTAATTTTTTTCTTTTAAAAATTTTTCAATTGAAAAACTAAATTTTCCTAAATATTTCATATTAAAATGATATTTTTGTTTTTTCTTTTAGTAAAACTTTAATTTTAACCTCATTTATTTAAAAAAAAAATAACAGATAAATTTTAAAATGCAATTAAAATTATGCACATCATAATTTTTTTTGTTTTTTTTTATTAAGCATTTTTTTTAACGATTGAAAAAATATTTAATTTTATAGAAAGGAAATATTAAAATTACACAATTAAATTAAATGGTAAATTTTAATGAAATAATATGTAAAAAAAAAAAAAAAAAAAAAAAAATCTAAAGATAATATCTACATACTTATTATATAAATAATATTATTTTAATTAAGAAAAAAAATGAATCGATTCTCAATCAATTGCTAATTTAAAAACATTTCTTCCAACCAGTTGGTATAACACTCCTACGGCTAATTTGAATTAATGATGAAATTATTATTATTATTATTATTATTTATAATAAATAATATGTTAGAATAATGGTGTATGATTTTTCTTCACAACATAACCAACTGAAAACAAAAAAAAAAAAAAATCGACACAAAATACTTAACCTCATCATCTTACTATTATCAAATCAATTTTAATAATTTATTTAAATATTTAAAACTATTTTAATAAATAAATATGTAAAGCACATTAGAGAAAAAAGTTTATTTATAAAACTGGATTAAATTTTATTTACAAAATAATCGTTTCACATGATGAGTATTATTAATTTTCAAAAAAATTTCCAAATTAAAAAAGCGAAATGACAAAATTTATGGATGACAAGGGGATTTGCTTGTTTGAATTGTTTTAACTAAAAATCCAACTAAAAAAATTTAAAAAAAAAAAAACAAAAAAATAAAAAGAAATAATCATCAACTGTTATTTGTATAGGTTAATGTATATTGAAAATTCATTTACTAAAAAAAGCCATCAAAAAAAAATAATTTTTTTTGAATTTAATGCTTTTATTTATTTAAGTACCTTCTTGTATTTAATAAAATTTAACTTTTTTTTTTAATTACTTACTCAAATTAATCACGCCGATAACTATTAAATATCCAGCTAAATTTTGCAATGTGTTTTCCCTAGCCCTCCTTCTTTCTTCTTCTATTTGATCCGTTTCAATGGCAAACTTAGGATTTTGAAACATGTTGAATTATTTTTCCGATTTATATATATATATTTTAATAAAATAACGACTTATAATATTTATATTTATATAAAATAACTTCTATCAAATAAATATTCAAATGAGCACTACACCGATTATGATTAAAAACAAAATGTATTAATAAAAGGCTGTGAAATGAAAACATACAATTTTAAATTTCCCTCCAATTTTCAAATGTTTATAACATCACTCCCCCGTTATTAAAATAATTAATATGAGATAATCAATTAACGTTAATTAAAATAAATTAAATAATTATTAAAAAAAAAAAAAAAAAACCAAATCGTTACTTTAATAATTTCTTTAATAATGTGTTTTTCCATTAAATGTTTAACAATTGTTTTTTTTTTTTACATTAAAATTTACAATAAATTTAAAATAATAATAATAATAATAATAATTAGTTTTTCACTAAACTAAATTGAAACGAATAAAATTTTCAATTAAAAAATCTATTTTAAAAAATTTATTTCTATACAGAGATAGATAATTTACTTAAAGTAATAATAATAATAATAATAATAATAATAATAATATAAATATACACAATTAACAACATTGCTACCTAATTAATTTAGGATTTGGTAATACAGAATCTTGATTTATTAAATATGGTATGACTTTTGTTATGTCTTTTAATTTATATCTAAGCCAATCGGGTATGGATTCTTTTTGATTGTATTTAATTGCCGTATTTTTCGAATCGGAAAATATTATTTCGCCCGAATTCGAATTGAATAAAAGTTTCGAACCGTCCAAATACTCGATTTCTATGGCTCCATTAGGAAACTGCAAATGAGAGAGAGAGAGAGAGAGAGAGAGATAGTAAAAATCAACACGATTTTAATAATATTCCATCCGTAATAATTAAATATAAATTACCTGGACGGCAACTCCTAATCCAGCCACTCGAATTCTGCGACTTATCCCGGAATCTGAACGTTTTTTATTTTTCGGCGTACTCTGAGCTCTGGACTGATAAGGTGTTACCGATGTGAGAAATCCATGATTCTGAATAATAGCAAAAACAAACATTTCATTCATTCACGTAACGATCAAGTTAATATTTTCACTTGATTGTAATCCTTACGCTTGTTAAATTTGAAAATCCACTATTACTCGAATGACAGGTATTTTCTTTTGCACTGAATATATTCCCACAGGAACTTGGTTTTCTTCCTACGATGATTGGAAAACAACTCAGGGATTTGTTTCCGAATGACGTCATGTCTTGTAACGTTTTCTCCAATTTCAAACAATGTTGATAACACTTGAAATGAAATTTTTAATTAAAATTTTAATTAAATAAATTGATAATTTTGTTAGTCATCCTGTGGGAGACTCACTTGAAGAAAATGTTGCACGTTAAGATTCGAATTATTATTTCCACTCGTCATATCCGACATTTGATAACTGCTTAAACTCCCGGATTCGTTAATGATTTTAACAATCTTTCCATTTTTGCTTATTTTTCCTCCTGCCGGATCAAATTCAAAGGAAAAAAATTAATTAAAGATGGTGGCGGTGGTGGTGGTGTAAGTAATAACGAAGACGATAAAAATAAAATTTTATTATTTTGCTCACCGGAATAAAACATGACTTCGAAATCATCCGGTGAATTTTCCATAAGCAAACATTTAGCTTGATCGCTGTAAAAAGTTATTTTTGGAGTTTTCGCTTTGACTAAATTAACGAAACGAGACGCGTACAAATATCTAAAATAAAAATGTATGTAAATTTATTATTATTATTATCATTTAAAAAAAATGTCTCTTTTCCCATTCAATTACTTTTTCCAATGTTTTTGAGGAAGGTTTTCATAACTGTATATTCCATCCGTTCCTAATTCTGGCAAATCAGGAGGTTTATCCTTTAACGGTTTGTTAACTGAATAAACGACGACCTAAAACAAAAAAAAATTTCGATTAGGTTTTTAATATTACAGCCATATTTAATTAAAATAAATTACCCTGATTCCATCTTTTGAAATTCTACAACAGTCCACGACTTTTTCTTCCTTTCCTTTCCTCTTGAGAAATTCAATAACAACTTCTCCAGACTCGGTTATACTTAAAACAGCCTTGTTCGTTTTATGTCTGGCAGGTTGTAACCTTTCCGAATTAATGGGTAAAACCTCAAAAAAAAAAAAAAAAAATTAAATAATTTTAAATTTACCCAGGAGTATTTTCCATTTTCTGCAAAAAAAAAAAAAAAAAAATATTTACTTTTACTCCATCGATTACGATTCGACACGATTCGGGCGAAGGATATGAATTTTTTTCGCCGGATGTGAATTTATTTTCCGACAGTAAAACAGATGAACTTTTGATGCAATCGACATTTTCCGAATTTACAGAATGTTGATTGGCATAAATAACTTTGTTCTGACTGCAATTGTTCCTGTATTGGCTCCCCGAACAACATGAATTTTGAATGAATTGATTACATTCTTTTCCTTGCATGCTACCGTGAGCATCGCAACCGTGAATCATGTTATTTTTTCTGACTTCTTCTTCTTCTTGAATATTCGTGCAGCAATGGGTATCGACGACTTTTTTAAACTTTTCCACGCAATGACATAAACTATTTAGGGTTTTCCCACAATTTGCATTATGACGAATATCCGAAAATGCTGTCTCACTATTTTCTCGATAAATGGGATTACTTTGTTTTGCGATATTTGACAAACTGTTAGATTTTCGTAAGCAGGGATTTTCAACGATAAAATTATTATCAGTTCCGGTGGAAAAAATTCGATTATGAAAATTACTCGATTGTTGATTACATGGATGTTCTGAACCACATTTATTCTGATAATTTGAAAAACACTGACGAGGAAGATGCTCAAAAACATGTGGACCATTATTCGAATTAGGAAATAAAGATTCTGTATTGATATCTTGATGCGTTCTTTTCAAATCAGGCGTTTCTAAAGGCCTGAAAATCCAAAAAAATTATTATTAACTACTGAAAAATAATGACAAAAGGTAGGAAATTTTGAATCGTGCATTACCTGGACGTGACCTGTGAATTTTTGTACTTGGAACGAAAATCCTCGTCACCGCGAACTGACAAATTTTTTAAATTCGTCAAACTTTTTTGCGAATTATTTGTATTGGTTGACATTGTATACTGACCACTGTCAATGGAATCATTCATAAAATTTAATATTCGATTATGAGAATATTTCATCATAAATGGATGTTTTAAAATATCTGGTAATGTTAATCTATCCTTGGGATTTTTTTCTAATAAATTACTAATCAAATCTTTAGCTTCAGAAGATAAATTTTCAGGTTCCTATAATCCAAAACAAAATACATTATTAAATTTTTATTTTTTTCGCATGGCAATTTTAAAGTTAGAAAAAAATAAAACCATTATTTTAATAATATTCTGACCTTATAATCTGACATAACTACTTTAGTTAAAGTACTTTTAACTGCACTAGTATCAAATGGAGGTTTCCCAACTAATAATGTGTACAACATAACTCCAAGACCCCACACATCTACTTGAAGTCCATGACAACTTCTAGTCGCTACTTCGGGTGATATGTAATTGGGCGTTCCACACATGGTCATATGAGTTTCGTTTGGTGCCATTAATTGAGTAGCCAGACCAAAATCTGCTATTTTCTAATTAGGCGAACCAAAAAAATTAGAAAAAAAACTAAAATCTACTTGATGAAAATACCTAATTTATTATACTCACAATTTTCATGTTTCTGGTTAAAAGTAAATTGGCTAATGTTAGATCTCTATGAACAATGTTGTGCGAATGTAAATATTTTAATCCGTCTATAACTTGTTGAAGGACCTCATAAGCTTTATTTTAAAAATTAAATGTGAATTTAAATTTTGATTGAAAAAAAAAAATTAAATATTCAATTTAAAACAAAATCATACCTTCACATTCTGATAAGACTTTATTTTGTTGCCTTAAAAATCTTTGAAGTTCACCATTTTCGCAATATTCTAAAACAAGGTAAACATAATTACAGTCTTCGAAAAAACAATAAAGTTCTAAAACAGAGGGATGTTTTAATTTTGAATGTATAGAAACTTCCTGCTTCACTCTCGATATCATTCCAGCAGCAAACATTGATTTTTTATCAATCTAAATTTAAAATAAAAAAAAAAAAATTATTATAAAATGTTAGTAATAAAAAGCTTATAATCTAAATGATAATAAATTACTTTCCATTTTTATAGCAACAATTAATTGAGTTCTTAAACATTTAGCTTTGTACACAGTTGCAAATCCTCCTTTTCCTAGAAAAGGTCCTACTTCGTAGTCCTAAAAATATATTTAATATTTAGATAAAAACATATTTTACATTCATATGTGTAAGAAATTTGTGTTTGTAATAATTATTGCTTAGAAAAAGTAAATAAAAAAATACTTTAGCTCCTTAAAAGTACTTTGCTATGTATAACTAACCTCGATCCTAATTCCAAATCCTAAAGGATTATCCATATTCTGAAAATGATTATTGGTAATCATCGTAATATTTTAATTTTTAACACTTTTAATTTACAATATGATACAAAAATAAACTTAATAATTTAATATAATTAATTTGTGACAATTTTAAACTCATCATTACCGTTAACTACTTTACCGCGGCGTTATTTCGCTTGTTAAGTTGGCACAACTTATACAAACAGTTTAAAACTGCCATCTTTAACTGATAAATTAAAACGTATAACATTTTTAAAATCTTCCAAATTACTTTTTTTTCAACTTATTTCAATATAAATAATATATCAAATGATATTAATTTTTTTTTTTTTGATTTTAAATTTAAACTTAAAATTAAACCCGTTAAAAATTTAGTGGAAATTTTCATATTTAATTCAAATTTTAAATTAAATACTTGTAAAGATTATAAAAGAATATAAAAAAAAACATTAATTAATTTTTTAAATTATTTTTTTTATTAATTTTTAAATTTATATTGAATAATTTGTTATCAATGTCTAAACTTTTTAAATAGCGGATGTTTTACGGATGAACTTGGTTTTTTGTATTCTACATAAACTGCGTCATCTGCTCCGGATAAAGAACTGATATTTCCTATTCTTCTATGAGCCATAACTCCTGGCTTGCCACCTTCACCTGGAATCCTTTCTTCCTCTGCATCAGTATCATTTGCAGCTAAAACTTGCTGTAGTAATTGTCCTTGTTCATCTCTTGTCTTATAAAACATATCAGGTTCTTCTTCCATGCCAGCTAGCTGGGTTATCACTTTGTAACTATATCCTGAAACACACACATAAAGCATAAATATATTTATTTTTCACATTAAGTCTTTAAAAAATAAAATAAAAAACCATCAAACCTTGGTTAACGAGAAAACTCTGTCTTTTTCTTGAATAACTCATCTCAATAGTATCCTGCGATACAAGGGTATAAAAAAAAGCATTATATTCTTCTGCTATAGCACCCTTTTTGGCTCTTAAAATTCTTCCAAGTCTTTGAGCCTCTTGACGCCTTGAACCTCCATGAGAAGAAATTTGTATAAGAACAGATGCATCAGGAAGATCGAAACTAGTATCAGCTACTTTGCTCACAAAAATAGTGTTTATCTTGGGATTGATTTTAAAATTTTGTAAAATTTGTATTCTTTCCATTTGAGAAGTGGGTCCATAAATAAATGGTTTATTCATTTTAATAGCATAATGTTTTAAAGCAAAAACATTATCTGAAAATACAATAGTTTTGTCTCCTCTTCTCTCGTGATAACGAATCAAATATTGACAAGCTCGAAATTTATTTGGATTCATCACATATAATAACTAAAAAAAAAAATTTTTTTGATTGAATTAATATACACAAGTAGTCAATTGAGATATTGAGATTTCTTTTAACAATTATTTTCCTTCTTTAGTACCCTTCATTATAATTTTATTTTGTGAAAAAAAGTTACTCACCAATTTTTTACTGGTCCTACAAATTAAATATTCCCTATAAAATTCAGGTGTCATCGGACACCAAACTTCAGCACATTGCACTCTAGCAATAAATCCACGATTTTGTAATTCTAACCAATTAGCTTCATACAATTTTGGACCTATTAAAAAATTTAAATCAGCTATTTTATCATCTTCTCGAAGTAAAGTCGCTGTTAATCCTAATTTACAATGAGATTGTACAATTGTTAATACACGACGAAACATTTTCGCTGGAATTGTATGAACCTAGAAAAAAAAATTTAGAAGGAAATAGAATATAAAATTATCAATCACTTGAAAATTATTTAAACATGTTAATTACCTCATCTAAAACCATTATTCCCCACTCCTGGTCCTGAAGCCATTTCATTGTCTCAGCAGCTTCCCATGATCTCTTCTGAGTATGTGTAATCATTGAATATGTAGTAATCAATATTCCACAACCCATTGGTTTATCTTTAGCTTCAGAAGTAAATCGACAAATGATGCTATCATCAGCTGTCGACCACATTTTAAATTGTTGTTTCCACTGTTCTACAGATACTCCAGAATTACAAAGTACCAGTGCTCTTTTTCTTACAGTGCAGCAAGCTGTTACTCCGACTAAACTTTTCCCAGCTCCACAAGGAAGAACGATAACTCCTTTACAAAAATAAAATTTTCATTCGTAATTAGCAATAATAACTACTATATATTGTAAAAATTTGATTATATTTAGAATTATTTATAAATTTTAAGTTTCTTTGTATTGAAATGAAAATTTTATTTGGGCAGTTTATAATTAAAAAACATTCAAAACATTTAAATTAAAAACATTCAACTTACCAGATCTAGCTCTACCATTTCCAAACATTTTTCTTAAGCTTTTTTCTTGATAAGGCCTCAAGACGGCAGAGGGTTTTAAATCTATATTAATATCAGGATTATGAGTATCATTTCTAAAATCATATTCAGCTAAAAGTGGGTGTTCTAATTCAATACACCTTTTTTGTAAAATTTCAATTTTTTCCTGATCAACTTCAAATGAAACAGTTTTTGAAATTACTTCTTCCTCATCTTCTTCTTCTTCTTTGTCTATTTTATCATAAAACATGGTTATGTCTTCAGGTACTTCTTCGATTGTCTTGTCATCTTCTGTTTTAGTATTTTGATTGGTAGCCGTAACTTCCTAAAAAAAATTATAAAATTATAAATTAGATATTTAAATTCAATCATTTACAATAAGATTTTCAATATGATAAACTTTCACAATTTTCCTTAAATTAATTCAATTAATAACATGAAATATTTTTATTTAATTTATAGCTAAGTTACATATAATTTAAAAATTTTAAATTGATCAAACCTTAGTCGCTGTATTTTTAAATGCAGAAACTCCTTTTTTATCAATTGTTCCAGCGATAAATCCTTCTTTTGTTAAGGTTTCATTTTCGACAGTTCTTTTTAAACGACATTCTTGAATTACTGGATCTTTTAACAGTTTTTGTAAAACATCAGGAAATGGACTTTCGACAAAATATCTATTATGTTTTAATACTAATTTAACTTTGCCATAGGAAAGAGTACACAATTTAATAAATTCTTTTATACCATCAGGTATACTGCATTTTGAAAGTTTGGATAAAAATTCAATAATGTCTTCGGTTTGAAGTCCAACTGACACGGCAGCATAAAGAGAATATGCAGTTAATTTATATTCATGTATATGTTCTGGTCTGCAGACAGGTTCCGAAATGGCGATAAGAAAATCATGTGCATGTTTGTAAACTGGCGAAAAACTTTCTAAAAAAATATGACCATTTGGAGCTACCCAAAGCGGTCTCCACTTATTATCAGTTTTAAGAACCATTTGAGATCTGTAGTCTTTTGCACCAAACTCATCTTCATCAGCTTTAGTATCCTTTTCTACATCTTTTGTAGCAGCTTCAGGAACACCTTCACCTTCTTGAACATCTGCTAAATCATCAATAAACTCTTCATCATCTTCTCTTCTTTTTCGTTTTGCTTTTTTATCACTTTTGTCTTTATATTTTTTTGATCCTAAAAGATTATTCAAAATATTAAAAAATAAAGTTTGATATTGTAAGGTTTAAAAAAAATGCATAAAAATACAAACCTTTGTAGTCCATTTTCAATGATTTTAATTTTCAATTTTCCTGTAAAAACAACTAAAACACAGAAAAAAATTTTAAGTAGCAGTTTGATTACATATTTAAAATCACATATTAAAAAAAAATAAAATTAATTATTTAAAGAAAGTTAAAACTTTTTTATTTAAAAAAAATTATTAATATTTTGAACTGGTACCAAAATCAGTCTCAACAACATTAAAAAAAAAAAACGTTAAAATGTCGTTGCCTCAAATTTTTAATTTTCAATTCGTTAAATCTTTTATTACCTCTGGATTGTATAATTTAAATTTACAAAAAAATAAATTATTATTAACAAATTCACATAAAAATTTTAATAGAATTTTATCATATCGTTTCGTAAGTCACCATTTTTTTTTTTTCAAAATGTAACCTTTTTAATATCTTTTAACTGATTTTATAGTACCTATTAGTTTTTTGATGAAAATCATTCAAATACAAATCAAGATGATGTCAATAGAAGAAGTACTTCAAAAAAATCACAAGCTACAATTGTAATAAATAAAAAAACGGTCGTTAAAAAAAAATTTCCAACTACACCTAAAATTGTGCTCATTAACCCAGACAATACTAAATCATTTTTATATTTAGAAGAGGCACAAAAAATAGCAAAAAGTAAAAATTTGACTCTTATGAAAACTGGCAATGTAGAAAAAGAAAAACCTGTTTATAATCTTTGTAGAGGTCAGTTAAAATTCAAAATAAAACATGAAATTTTTCCTATGAAAACTTATTATTTTTTAATTTAGCAGAAGATAAAAAAAGTTCCAGTTCTTTAAAAGCGAAAAAAATGTACATAGCTTCAGACATATCTGAAAATGATTTATCGATAAAGGCTAAAAAAATTATTCAAACAATATTAAAAGGAAAAATTTATGAGGTTATTATACTTGCTGATCAAACTGACAAATCGCTAATGGTGAGAAATCGAGTTTTTTTTTTTCAATCCCAGTTTATTTCAAATTTATTAAGGCCTATGTAATAATTATTTTAGCCTAAAATTCAAGAGAGTTTGCGCAAATCAATCGAACCGCATGGAAGTATAAAAATTGAAGCAGATTCAAAGAGTAAAATAAAACTTCTCGTCACACCGAATAAAAATAGTATTTCAGATGCTAAAACGGATACAGATATTAATACACAAAATGAAAATTTAAAATAGACATTTACAGAAGTATTTAATCAAATTGTTAAATTATTAAGGAAAAATCAATAAGGAAAGTATATATTCAATAATCGTTTATAAAATCAACCGAAACAAAAAAAAAAAATTTGTCTAATAGTTTACAATATACATATTATAAACATTACTTCATAAGGAAAAGAATTAATTATTATTATTATTATTATTATTAAATAAATAATTAATTCGAGTAATGTCATTCAAAGGCCAAAGTGTGTAATTATATTCAATTTATAATATTTTAAAAGTTTTTTTTTTTTTTTTTTTTTTAATGAAATATAAAAACGATTAACTAGGAATATACAATATAAATAATTAAAAATTTTTATAAATTTTTTTAATTTATTTATTCATTTTGTAAATTTTATATTACATATTTAAAATGTATTAATTTTAAATGTTTTTTTTTTTTTATGCAATATGTGCTAATTAATAATAATCTGTGTAAATAATAAAACATAAAAATTTAATTAATAAAATCTATTTATTGTATGTGTTTATAAAAAGGTGATGATTGTGTAAATTTTCTTTTTTTTACTGCTAACCGTATTTATTAAAAAAAAGGAATTTAATGTTTGCACGGTAAAAAATTACAGGATAATGTTTCTATTCTCGGTGGACAAGGCGTACCTAAAAATCCAGGTACTTGTATAACGTCTTTCGTTCTTTGTCTGACTGCGTTTATGCCACACGTGGCCGAACAGGGAGACCACGGAGACCATTCGGATAAAATACAATCTCTTTTTTTTCTATCGTCGACGTTGTAATAATTATTATTATTATCAAAATTATCGGTATTTCCTTCCCAATTGGGTAGTATTGTTTCTTTAATATGTTTTTTTGTTTCTTCTTTTTTTTTTAAAAAAAAAAAAAAAAAACCAATTATCATTGATTTAATTGATGGAAATTTTTTTTTTTACTTTTTTTTCTTTATAAATATTATTATTATTATTATTACTTACCGCAGTTTTGAATTTTACATTTTCTTCTCTTCAACAGTTTTTGCGGACACGGTTTTCCACCGTTTTGTGGATGCACTAATATATGTCTCATTTTTTCCTTCGTACCTCGACCGCATGTTTTACTACATTCGGACCATGGCGTCCATGGAGAAGCTTTACAGTCTATCGCTTCACCGTAAATACCTTCGATGGTCATCGGAGTGGAAAATGATTGCTGTAGGATTTTTAAAAAACTTATTAAATTTTTTTCGGGGGGGAGGGGGGTGTGAAAATTTAATTTTAAGACGCGGAAAAATATTTACCGGTAATCCATAATACGATGAATTCATATTAATTATTTGATTTCCAGCTTTGAGTCCATTAAATTGATCTCCGGACGATGAAGAATCTTAAAAAAAAAAAAAAAGTATAAGTTGTAGGAGTTATAAGTTTAAATTTTAATTTTAATTTGAAATTAATTTCATTATTTTTTTTTACATTAATTAAATTAATTAGGTTTCTTTATTAAAAAATGGAGTTAAATGTTAGTAACAAAAGCTTACCAACTTTTTGTGTTGTTAATTGTGGTTCATCCAACATTGGTAAATGATATGATAAAACACCTGATAGTTGTACTCCGTATTCTAAAAGCTTGGCCGAACGTATTTTTTTTAAATCTTCTGCGTAACGTAAGCAGCGTGTACAAAAGTACTTTTTTTTTTTTAGAATTCGGAAATTAAAATTTCAAACGTTTCATCTCGAGTATTATTAATTAATTTAATGAATTTCGTACGGTTAAAATGAAAAATGAAAAAAATTTTTTTTTTTTGAGTTATTAGTTATTATGGGGATTAAAAATTTTTTTTTTTTTTTGTTTTAAAGATTAGTTTTTAAATAAATTTTTTTACCTTTAAGCAATGAACAAGTTTGTTCGCAATCTTCTTGAGTGAAAAAACTATTCATATTTCCTTTACATCCTCTATAAACAAATGTTTTACAGGATTCGCTGTTTATATCGAAATACCAACGTTCTATGTGACCCCTGCAAGGACCTGGATCTTGTGGAAGGCGGCATATTTCTGTCGAATTTTTTAAATTTTCTCAAATTCTTTTAAAAAAATTTTCTTTTAATTTTAAAACTCACTATTTGCTTCTTCCATAAGTGCAGCACAATTCGAATAATCTCCTTCGCATTTAACTTCTTGAGTAGTTTGTACATCTGCGCAATCTGAATTATCATAATCTTGACCGTCTTGTAAGTAGGGATTGTATTGATTTAATTTTTGTCTGGATCTAATTTTCGTTCCAGAGCCACATGTTGCAGAACAAGGTGACCATTCGGACCATGGAGAAACTGGACAATCATCATTTTCCATCTGAATAAAATATTTACAAATTTTTTTTTTTATCATTTGGCGATTTCGTTTCTCAGTCAAAATCAAAACAAAATGGCAAATCTTTACTTCGTCATCGTTATCCTCATCACCGTAGCAATCATCTTGAAAAAAACATTCATCTGTTTGTTCAAGAGGCTGAGAACCTGGGAGTAGGGAACATTTTTTTTTAGCATTTCTAATTTTATATTTTCTACTCCTTGTTCTCACTCCTGAACCGCAAGTAGTGCTGCACGGAGACCAATCACTCCATTCCGTTACTTGACAAAATGGATCGTTTTTCCATATATCTGAAGCTTCACTGTTCCTGTCCAAATGACTTCTAAAAATTTTTTTAAAAAATTAAACATTGTCGCGTGGTGATAATTAGGCCGTCTGAAAAAAAAAAAAATTACCTGCAAATTTTCCGCTTTCCATAACATGACATTTTAGAAGTAAGTTTTACCCTGCAAGATTTTGCTTCTGCTTGCATTGGATCAATGTATGATCTTTGACGATATCTTATACCTCTTCCACAAGTGACGGAACAAGGTTCCCATTCAGACCATTCTCCAACAGCGCATTCTGTAAAAAAAAAAAAAAACAAATATCTAATAATGATAATGATTATTTGAACCTTCAGACTAAACTAATATAATTTCATTTAAAAAAAAAAAAAAAATTGAAAATCTGTTAAAACCTTGATTTACGTCTTCTTCATCTGATGTTATCACATCATCAGAGCAACTTTTTTCATAAAGCCTTTGTCTGCTTAAGTACAATCTGGCAAACGGTTTCATTTCAGCTCCAGTAGGATCATAAAAAGGATTTGATTCATCTTTTGGGTGCCTTGTGGTTATTTGCCTTATTGGTTCTCTGGGATGCGTTGGGAAATCCGGGGATACGTACGTAGTACCGCTATCCGTTCCAGCATCCCATGGAAACAAATTGAGAACTTTATATTCAGTCCAAGAACAATTTCGCAAACATAATTCCAAACCGGAAACTCCAACAATCCAGTCAGGTGAAGGATCTGAAATAGTAAGAAAATTTTTAAATCTTGATAATATAAAAGTTAAAAAAAAATTATTAAAGTTAAATAAATACCTATCATAGAAACTAAAGACATTAAATGATGTTTCCTGTCTACCCTGAAAACAGCAAAGGTTTTCCCCGTCACATTAGGGTATGATATTCCTCTCGCTTTGATTATTGTTCTTATATGTTCACTTTCACTTTTTAGCTCGCTTTCTAACATTCTAGTGGATCCTGTTTCTGCTACCTGTCTTAATCCTTCGCTAGCTATTTCTCCATACTGCCAAAACCTATATTGGAGAAAATAATAATGATCCGTAATTAAATGCTTTATTTAATTAAAAAATTTAAACGTAATTTTATCATTATAAATATATTGCTACCACCTATATTCAGAAGAATGTGATGCGCCAATTATGTCGGAAAATCTTGTGAGCCAACCATTCGACGGAAAATCTTTTGGATGTGTGTGCCTCGACCAAAGACCTTCAAAGGTAACTTCATATTTTGCCTCATCGCACGCGCAACATTTTTCTAACACTTCCGGTTGTTCGTTTATATTTTCTTGCATATCTTCGCAAAGTGAAACGCTTAGGGCATCGTCATCCATATACCATATGTATCGATCTTCCACAACCGTGGCTCTAAAAGTAAAAATCTTAAATTTAAAATTCGCAGAAAATATTTTTCCAACTTTTGCCAAGTTTTTTTTATTATTTTTACCTAAAAACAACACATCCATTGCCCGAGGGGGGAGCTTTCCAATAAACTTGAATTTCCGATTTGAAAATGCTAGACGTTTGAGTGACAGCATTTGGGCAAGATTCGCTTATTTGTGTAAGTGCATCTCCCAACATTGGATGAAATGTTCCCACATCGTAATGTCTAATTTCTCTGTCATTTCCAAAAGCGTATTCGGATGATTCAACGGTTAAAAAAAACGCAGTAAATTTATTTAAAGCTTGGTATTGCTTTACACCTTGAAGACTCACTGCAAACGTTTTTTAAAAAAAAAAAATTTTTTTAAATATTAAAAATAAATAAAAAAACATTTTTGTATAGATATCCTTAAACCAGGAGAACGAGTTGCATAGATTATTTAGTTCCGATGGTCAGGACTCTATATTTAGGTCAAATTTTTTCTTTTTTTACAAAAAAAAAAATTATTGGCTCTTATAAAATGGGGCAAATATTTTTTTTTTTTTTTTACACCTAAACTTTCGCAAATGAAAGTAAAATATTTTAACAAAAAATTAATTTAGTATGTTAATTTGCAGACTTTTTATTTTCTAAAACTTAAACTATTCTATAAATAATTTTAACGACTTTAAAAAACGTTCGATATAAATTAATTCAGAGACAGTCTGCACCAGCCTCCAGCCAGCAGTTGGGTTTGAAACTTTGTAATTTTTTTTTGTTTTCTTTTTTTTTTCAAAACTTTTGTAAAAACTTCTTCGTCAAACGATTAACTGAAAAATTATAAAAATTATTTAAAAATTATACTTAATTCTATTGGTAAAATGATAAAAAAAAAAGTTTGCATTGATTATGTTTCCATGCAAAATTTAACAGAGAAACTTACAATTAATCAACTATTTTCAAAAAATAGTTTTTTTTAATAGTACCTGTATACTTTTCTCCAGGTTCGTAAGAACTAGGATTACCACTGATTTTAATTTGAAATTTATTCGTCGACGGTGATTTTGGTGTAAAACGTCCTTCTGGAGTTCTGTCGCTGCAACGAAACGTTGAAGCAATCCCAGGTTTGCAAAAAAGCAACACAAGGTTTACAACAGCCAGTAGTTGAACTCCACCTATCATACCTAAATTTAATTATTCAATCGAAGGAAAGAAAGGCGGGTTAAGGAAAAACAAAAAAAAAAAAAACAAAAAAAAAAAAAACAAAAAATAAATTAAATTAATCCGATCGATATTGGGAGGGTGTTGAAAACCATTGGTTAATTTAAATTGCAAACTAACATTGGCAGTGAATAATTTAATAAAAACAATATGTCTAATGATTTAAGAGCCAAAATATTAATTTACTTTTTTTTTTCAGGGTCGAACTACTTGATAAACTTTTATAAAAATTTTTTTAAGGATGATTATTTTAATCTGACATGTAACAAAAATAAAATATAACAATATAATAAATAAATAAATAAATAAATAATAATTCTTTTGTTTTTTTTTTAAGGCCAAAAATTTTTTTTTTTTTCAATAATATTAAATTATGATTAAAAAAAAAATTATTATTATTATTATTATTAATTTTGGCTTACTTTCAAATAATTTGACATCTTAAATTTTTACAATGATAGAAAATAAATTCCATTAAAGAATTTTTTTTTTGTTTTGACGTTATTGAATGCGTAATTATTTATTAATAACTAATTTATTTTTTATATTTTTGTATGAGAAATAAAAAAAAAAAAAATTTTTTTAAATGAATCGAAAACCGTTGCAGATTAAATAACGTAAAGAAATATCTTCATAAAACTTACATTTTTATTATTATTATTTAATAATCTCTTCTCTTAAATAAATAAATAAACAATTTTACATTTGTTTTAAACATTTATAACAATCAAAAGTCATAATTACCTTCCATAAAATTAAAATAATTTCAATTCGACATTATGAGTAGTGACAGTAATTTTATAAAAATAGTTTAACTGATTTTTATCTACAGCCACGACGTTTTTTTTTTTCCTTTTTTTTTTATTACTCTATTCCTTTTCATTCGATAAAGGTATATTTTATGATTAATTACATCAAGTACTGTCTGTCACCTTTCAATAAGTTTCAACGAATTTACGTTTATTCGTTATTCAACTATTAATAATGACTTCGAATAATTAATTCGTTTTACGGCTTGATATTTAATAATTACAAAACGTTAATTAATAAATTAACCTTTGAAATCTCACACGATTTGAATAAAATTTACAAAAAAAAAAAAAAATTTATCAAAAGTATTATTACAAATGGCTGCATTGTATATTTCCGCCAAAACTTTTTTTTTATACGTTTAAAATTTACCTTTAATTTTTTTTTTTTTTTTAAAAAATTTATCTTCTCACTTGATTCTTCTTTTCTCCTTTTTTTTTTTTTCTTTTTATTTCTTTATATTTATTTAAAACTAAAAAAAAATAATAATACTTTTTTTTTTTTTTTTTTTTTTTTAAATCAATTATAAAATAATTAATAAAATTTAACGATGAAATATTTCATTTGTTTTCTTCGAGCGTTACGAAACGACTGAAGGAAAATTCAGCTTAGCAACGCCGTCGGAAACAAGATAAACTCTTCTGATTGGTTAATTTTTAAATCCAATGAATTTTGAATTGACGCGCATATTAACTGAAATTCCGCCAAAACCAAAAAAAAAAAAAAAAAATGTTGTTAACGTTATTAAAAATAAAATTATTATTATTATTACGATTTTTTTTTTTATAAACACTATATTAACTAAAATTTAAGTTTACAATTTTTTTTTTGTTTGTACACAGAAGTCTTAAAATAATATATAAAAACAAAAATTATTATTTATTTGATTTCGATAATAATACTATAGATACGTCAATGGAATATTTTGAAACACAAATCAAAAATTAAAAAAAAAAATCGTTAAAATTAAAATTTTCAGTTCCTTTTTTTTTTTTTTTTTTAAATTAATAAAAATAAATATTAAAATTTTTTAAGTAACAAAATCATTATTAAAAATGATTAAGGCAAATACTAGTTTTTTTTTTTTTTTTACCAATGATTTTTAAATACTGGAGGTATAATTTTTTTTTTTTTTAATTACCTCTATTGTTACAAACTGTAAAACTAATGCAAATAAATGAATTAAATTTTTAAAAACTTTTATATACCCATCTAACTAATTAAATGAAAAACATAATAAAAAAAAAAAAAAAAATTTAAATTTCTAATACTTTGTTGGAATTATAATAAAAAATAACCCTAAGGGGGGAAGGGGGAGAGAAAAAAAAAAAAAAAAAACTTTTTTTTTTCTTTCTTTCTTTCTTTCTTTAATTCTACAAAACGTTGAAACGTATTATTTACACCTTTTTTCAACCCTTTTCTGCTCTTAATTTTAATTTTTGAAGAATACTGAGAAGTTGATCTAATGTATATCGATACCTAAGTATGTGATTGCCTGGGGGACAATCACACAGTGCATTATAATGTCGTAAACAAGAATTTTTGTTTTGAGATTTTAAACATTTACACGTGAGACCACTTAGAAAACACGTCGTTTTACAATATTCGCAAAGGCGTTCGTCATCTGGAATTTTTTCAAACGGATATTTTTCAGCTTCGTGAACACCCCAATCTAAAACAACTTTTCGAAGCTTTTTCTCGGTGCGCACCTGAAATAAATAAATATTATACATGATTTGCTTTTGTTTTTCAAATTGCCCGTAATGTAAAATCCACACCATTACACACCATGGCGACCATATCTTCATAAGTTGCCGCCGCTATTTGTGGTCCCAACTGATCTAAATTTTCCGCCATTTTGCAAACTAATTCATCGTGTGAAAAAACGCAGAATCTGTGAAGCATGGAATAATGCGCCACGCATTCTCGTCCCATTTTAAGCCAGTCTGCCGGTGCGAAATTGACCGCTTCGGCAAAATTATATCCTTGATTGAATCCAGCGTGATAAGCTCTGGGAAAAGTCACGACGAATTCGCCAGCTTGTTGATCCGTGCGAACAACCTGAATTGTAAATTTAATTACACAAAGTTCATTTACTCTAAAAATATACGTAACACGATATCTATGACACGCAATAAATTTTCATCTTACGGGTACTCCATTTGCCATTAAAAGATTTGGATTCATGATGGTTACAAGTTGATGCAATAGATCCGGTTGCGATTTGAACAATTCTGGAGCGACTTGCTTCATTGTTTCCTCGAATAGTTCGGCTTTCATGCCAGGTACGCCGTACCAAGTCTTTGGTTCTCCCCAATGTAAATAATTAATCGAATAATTCCAATGGTCTTCGTTGTGCCAACAAAATGTGGCAAAACACATTCCAACGTACATCCAGGGAACCTTAAACCATCAAAAAAAAAAAAAAAAACAAAATTTGTGATTCCAAATTGTGTGATTGAAAAAGTATTTAGGTAAAAATTCAATGCAACCTTCATTCCGGAAATATCAGAATCAATGTATTGTAAAACAGATCCTTCCAGGACAGGTAATTTATTTAAATTCCAAGGAGATTGTGCATACTCTAATTCACAAGTTAGCATTTCATCGTCGGTTATTATTGTAGGAAAACCAGAGCCGTGATCCATCGTATGAAGATCAGCACCGTATTCAACCGTTACATCTAAAACAAAAAATTATTTTAATTTCTAGTTATAGAAAATATATATAAATGTAAATAATAAAATGAGCATAATTTTTTTTACCTTCATCAATACTGCTAACTATTCTCCAAAATTCTTTTTCGACTAGGGCTGTAGGAACTCTATGTACAGCCATATTGAAATAATCTTCTTTAAACTGATCTGCCATTTCGCCGAATTGTTGTAACGTGTATTCTCGATCAGCCTGTTCGAAACCAAAAGCCTCGCTTGGTTTACATACTTCTAAGGCGACGCACTGAGGACACCTCCAGTCTCCTGGAAAAAACCATTATATTTTAAATTTTTATTTATTTCGAAGAATATATTTTGGTTTTCAAACGAGGAAATAAATTGATATTTATTTATCGTAAGAATTTTTTTTAGATTTTAAAACATGGATTTTACCTTCAGGCACCTGAGATAAAGGAGGCATCAAGCACTGAATGTGATAACTGTCATCACAACCATCGCATAATAAAATAAATTCTTCCCTATCTCCATTTTTACACACCTTACAAGTGTATTTTTCTAATGGATCAAAACTGTAGTTAACTTTTTTTCCTCTCGTTTTATTTTCATTGAAGCTCATGTTTGGATCATACCCTAAAGTAAAAGGTAGTGAGTGTAATTAATATCATTTTTAATGCAGGCATGAGACAAACCAATGTGATATTAAAATACCAGGCAATTTGGGTCCTGCACCAAAAAAAGCCAGTCTTTGAAGTTCTTTATTTTTTTTTTGATTTTCTTCCGATTTCACTGTAGGAGTATCACTTTCACCAGACAGAGGATCCTGATGACCGTTAAAACAATTATTGGAGCGCCTGTTACATTTTCCAACAGGTGGCTTAATAGCTTGCCTAAAATAATTTTAAAGTTTTAGTAAAAAAAAAAAAATTTTAATATTAAATACAAAAAATAATAAAAATAATTTTCCCAAACTTTACCGAGATATAATTCCATGGGGTGTATAATTGTTACCTTCCATTTCAACAATTTCATTTTTTATATTTTCTTTAGAATCTTCTGAACAAATTTTCTTTTCTGGCAGGTCATCTTCATCTGACAGCTCGATAACTTCTATATTTCTTTTTTCAGACTTGATCTCTCTTTTTACAGAAGTTCCAATCATGGAATCATTTCCATTACCCCTTGTTTTTGTTTTATTTTGAACTTTAGGCTTTTGAAACATATCAAAAGGATGCAAGATTCTTTCATAATGTGTTTTTAAAACTTGTCCAACATTTTTGCTAGGATCAAAACCCATAGCTATAGATATTCTGATCCATTTCTTTTCTTTATTTACAGTTAACTAAAATTTAAATAATTATAACTTAAAAAATGTATAATTAAAACTTTTTTTTGAAATTTTTTATTGATTTTTTTTTTTTTACCATGCCACCATTTTTGTGGACTAGATGATGCAATTGATAGAGATCCAGTGTTTTTTTATCAATGATTGGAATTTTAAGAGGGATTCCTTGAAGTTGCCAAAATTTGGCAATTTGATCGAGAAAATTAAGTTTTACTCTCGTGCATGCTTCTAATTCATTTAACCTTTGTATTCTGGGTACAAATTTAAATTTGTCAACATCTACTGCAAATGGTGGTTGCCAATCTGGAGGAGGTTTAATTTTACATATTCCAGCAGCTTCACCAGCAAGTCTAATTTTACAAATGTACCTAAAATCATGTAAATTATATTTAACACTCTGTACAAAAGAAAACTTGTGTAATAATCAAAAATTTTTTTTTTTTGGCAATATTTACAAATAGCCCATGAAACGTTTATGAAAGAACAAACCAAAAACTTTCAATTATTATTTACAGTTACTCGATTTTAGAAATTTTAAACATAAAAGTTTTATATAAAGGAATCATATTAACAACTGTTTATAAAAAAAAAGAATGACAAAAGATTATATAAAGAAAAATTATTACTTTAACGGATCCTTAAATTCTTCTTCGGTTGGCTCAAATACTGGAGCCTCAGGCGGAGGAGTAAATGGAAAATTTTCAGCAGCTTTTAAGTCGATTGACTTTCGGAAGCTCGGTGATATACGGACGGCCATTTTAAACTTTCACAATGACATGTACACAGTTCTCTATCGAATTAATAATATTGTTGCACATATTTTTAATTAAACACGAGAATATCTTTAATTATATCTTCAATTCATTTAATAAAAACTCATATCATTTAAATAAAATATTAATATCATAAATACAAAACTTTTTTAAAAATTTAAAATGACAATTAAACTTTTATTTACCAATTTCATAAGACTTCAATTTATTTCATATAGGCATTTTTGCAAAATTATAAATAATTGCTGCCACGACTTTTAAATTATAAGTTATGAAAGGAAAAAATAAAAACTCAATTAAAAAATAAAATTATTGGTTTAAAAAATGTTATAAAACCATCAAAAACTTACCTTCAATAAAATACACTTTAAAATCACTATAACTTTTTATACCTTAACAATTTCCAATAATAAATAACAGGAGAAATAAATAAATAAATAAAAATAATTTACATAATTTTTTTTTTTTTTTTAAATACCTCTTATATTTTTAAATATTATTATTCAATTTTTTGTCTTAAATTATATACTCAATACAAAAATTATAACCTACTCAAATTAAAAAAAAAAAACCAAATAAATCTATTATA